CTCGGGGTTCGCCTCGGCCCGCCCCGCCCGCGCGGGTCCCCAGCGCCCCCGCCCGCTCCGCGGCCGAGAATGTGTCACCGTAGGCAGTATGCCTCCAGAGGTTTATTTTCGAAACACCTCCAACGACTAGTTAAGTTTTCCACGCTTGCTGTGCATGCAGGATGTTGAGGAGGCCGTTTCTTCCGCCGGCCTCGTTTTAGGAACCTAGGGAAACTTCAAACCTAAAAGGCGAGACGCGCGCTTGGCGGCCAGGGTCTAAAGAATTGGAATCTCCGGGGCTTTACTGTATTTCGTACTCTTGACTAAAAGCTCAGATTAAACTCCTCACTCTGACCCAAACCGAACAAGAAAGAACTCCCTAAGGTATTTTCTTCCTTAGAAACTGGTGAAGAGCCAGGCACGGGAAGGAGGGGGCAGTGGTGCGCTTTGAGAAAACTAGTTCCCCGGGGGGGGGGGGGCTGGGCTGCGAGGCCAGCAGGGCCTCAGGACGGCCTTGGCTGGAGAGGAGTTGGAGGAGGTTGTGTAACTGCCTTGGAAGGCTTCCTCGTGCGCACGTAGGTCACACGGCTGAGGCAACAAAGACTCAGCTGAAAGTAAAGGGGCCAAAGGGAGGATAGAAAAGAAGCCTGTAGGTAACACTGATCATTGGCCGCAGGGTACTCTCGGCCCGCACCCCGCTCGGTGTCCTGGCGCCAGGGCCATTGCACCCTGCGTTTGCTGCCCTCAACCCCCACGCTCGATCTCCGCTGGTGCCAAGCCTGCACGCCTTTCAAAGCTCGCGTTAAGTACCAGCTGCTCTCTGAATCTCAGAGTAAGAGAATTAGACTGACCTTTCAACTCCAACTCCGAGAATCTGTGGTTCTAAGCCGTCTCCAGCCACCTCGCCCAGGCTACGGTGATTTTGTATTTTCATTTACCTTTTTGTTTCTCTAAATTTAGTCTCTTCTCACAAGCTCCCTCCCTTCCAACACCCCGCGCACCCCTGCCCAAATTAGCATCAAGCCTGGCACCAAGGAGGTGACTAGCAAATATTCCTTAATGTTGATGATGAGGAATGAGGAAATGCTCAAGAACTCAGATCTGGAACTTTCAGTTGCAACAGCCAGTCAGTGATACAATTAGACACGGTGATACACTTAGAATTCTCAAGCAAATAGTTCCCATTGCAGTCGCTTGCTATGCAAATGCCAGGATTGGCAAATAAGCCATTTCAAGGCCCACGGGCACAGGGGAAGAAAAAGTCTTTCCAGGGAAAACTACTTCATTTTGGACGAAAGAGTGCTTGACCTTCCCTGCTCTGGCCCTAACTCCCTGACATCTTTCCCTCAGCTTGTAGCCTCCGAAGCCTTGTCTCTATCCTTGTCCCCTTCAGGCTACTGCCCTCTCTTTTTCTTCACCTTACCATCGTTTAAAAATGTTCTAAAAATATTAAAATAATAAATGCTCACTAAAGAAAACTTGAGAAGTATAGAAAAGTAAAGCAAATCACCCATAATTCCTTCACACACACAACCACCTGTTAATATTTTAGTGTAACTTTTCTAGTCTTTTTATTTCTTCTGCACAGACC